TTGCTAAAGTTTTGTAAAATTTTGATATAATGACATCTATCTATCAAAATCAAATCAATTAATATCAAAATTATCTATCAAAATCATAATCTATAAAATTTTTATAATTTGAAAGTTTTGTAAAATTTTAGAGATAATGACTTCTGTATATCAAAATTAACAAATCAATCAAAATCAAAATTATCTGTCAAAATTATTATCAACAAAATTTGTAAAGTTTTATAAAATTTGAAAACTTTTGGAGATAATTGCATCTATCTATCAAAATCATCAAATCATTCAAAATCAAAATTATCTGTCAAAACTATTATCTATAAAATTTGTATAATTTGTAAAGGTTTCTAAAATTTGTAAAATTTTTTAGATAATGACATCTATCTATCAAAATCATCAAACCAATCAAAATCAAAAAATTTCTGTCAAAACCATTGTCTATAAAATTTACATAATTTATAATGTTTTGCAAAATTTTGGAGATAATGACATCTATCAAAAGCAACAAACCAATCAAAATCAGAAATTATCTTTCAAAACAATTAATTATAAAATTTGTAAAGTTATGTAAAATTTGTAAAATTTTAGAGATGATGAATCTATCTATCAAAATCATTAAATCAATCAAAATCAAAAATTATTCGTCAAAGCCATTATCTATAAAATTTGTAAAGTTTTGGAGATAATGCCAGCTGTCAAAATCATAAAATCATTAAAAATCAAATCAATCAAAATCGAAATTATCTTTCAAAATCATTATCTATAAAATTTGTAAAATTTTGGAAATAATGACATCTATCTATCAAAATCAAATCAATCAAAATCAAAAATTATCAGTCAAAGCCGTTATCTATAAAATTTTGGAGATAATGCCAGCTGTCAAAATCATCAAACCATTAAAAATAAAATCAATCAAAATTGAAATTATCTTTCAAAACTATTATCTATAAAATTTGTAAAATTTTGGAGATAATGACTTCTATCTATCAAAATCCTTAAATCAATCAAAATCAAATATTATCAGTCAAATCCATTATCTATAAAATTTCTAAAGTTTTGGAGATAATGCCAGCTGTCAAATTCATCAAATCATTAAAAATCAAATCAATCAAAATGGAAATTATCTTTCAAAATCATTATCTATAAAATTTGTAAAGTTTTGTAAAATTTGTAAAATTTTGGAAATAATAATATCTATCTATCAAAATCAAATCAATCAAAATCAAAAATTATCAGTCAAAGCCGTTGTCTATAAAATTTTGGAGATAATGAAATCCATCAAAATCCTCAAATCATTAAAAATCAAATCGATCAAAATCGAAATTATCTTTCAAAACCATTATTTATAAAATTTGTAAAGTTTTGTAAAATTTGTAAAATTTTGGAAATAGTAATATCTATCTATCAAAATCAAATCAATCAAAATCAAATATTATCAGTCAAAGACATTATCTATAAAATTTTTAAAATTTTGGAGATAATGCCAGCAGTCAAAATCATCAAATCATTAAAAATCAAATCAAGCAAAATGGAAATTATCTTTCAAAATCATTATCTATAAAATTTGTAAAGTCTTGTAAAATTTGTAATGTTTTGTAAAATTTGTAAAATTTTGGAAATAATGGCATTTATCTATCAAAAGCATCAAATTAATCAAAATCAAAAATTATCAGTCAAAGCAATTATCTATATAATTAGTAAAATTTTGGAGATAATGACAGCTATCAAAATCATCAAATCATTAAAAATCAAATCAATCAAAATCGAAATTAGTCTATACCACTATCTATAAAATTTGAAAAATTTTGCCAAAGTTATACTAAATTTTGCTTTACTACTATTACTTATACCACTTTTTTCAAAATTAATGATGACAAACTATCACCTATAATGATGAAACTAAGTAATATAAAATAAGGCATCGCCACTGCTTACCAAGCTGTAGAATCCGGCTGCGAAACTCCCGCTCCGGACATTCTTCCAGAAGCAGCATCGGGTGAGGATGGCCATTGTTGACGCACGTGGAGAAGCAAGAGACTTGTAGCTTTCGGAGATCTCGCTTTATTTTCACCCTCGCAGACCCCCGCTCTACCCTCAAATACGCTCCCACAGCGCCCTCTGCCGCCCTCTCCTCAAACTGTCCTAACTAACACAAGAGCCAACACGTGTTGATAGAAGGCTTACTCTTTGTTGTGCAGAACGACTTTCAGATTTTTGGAAATCAGCTAATAATGAAAAAAAAAAAGTCTCATAATTTAAAAAATTCCTGATCTTCAGAATAATGTTCAGCTTTGTGGTTTCAGGTAATAAATATTATTTAAATAAATAATGACCTTTATAATGAATAATGAAATTTAATGTATTTAAATGAGACACATAGATTTTGATTATTTGTGAGATATATGTATACATGTATACCACTAACACACATATAGGCGGCCTGGTGGTAAGCGCTCTGGCCTTTGGTATCCCATGCTTCAGTTTCGAATCCTGGCGGTGGCATGAATGTTTGTGAGGGGTTCGGAATCTACTTTAAACTTTAGGTTATTTAGCCCTCGGGTGCACAAGATGACCGTAGAGCGACAAAGCAAACCAAACAAATATACATATTACGTGTGTGTGTTGGGGCCTGAATGGCCGAGTGGCTAGCGCTCTGGCGCTCGGTACCACAGGTTTCGGGTTCGAGTCCCGGCGGTGCCATGGTTGTTTGTAGTGGTTCGGAATCCACTTTAAAAAGTAGGTCCCGGTCTAATAGGATCGTAGAGCGTTGCGGGGGCGTTGTTACTCCGCGTCCGTAGCTTATCTTCAAGTTACACGCGTCCCCTGGGTAATGCAAAGTGAGAACGTCTGTGCAGCGCTTGCCTTAAGGCATCCAAGACGTCCATGTCTGTGTTTGCCAGCTGCATTAGAAAGAAAAAAAACGTGTGTGTGTTATTTTTCTATATATAATAATAAACTAATATTGAGTCTTTTAACATTTTTCCAATTTCTTTAGCAACACATGGAAAAGCGATTTTTAACACATAAAACAAAAGATACAAAATTTTAAAAATGGACTCCTGATCTTTATGAAAATTTTCAGTTTTGGATAGCATTTCTTTCAAATAATAACATATTTTAAATAAATAATAATAAAATTTATAATGAATAAGGAAATTTAATTTATTTATATTAGAGACACACAGATTTGTGGTCCCTTGCGATATATATAAATATCTATGTATTATTTTTCTATACATAATAATAAATTAATATTGAATATTTTAATATTCCTTTAATTTAGTAACAAATAGAAAAACGATTTTTAATAAATAAAGCTGAAAATGCATAACTTTAATGATGAACTCCTGATCTTCATGAAAAGGAGCAGTTTTTGACAGCATTTCATTCTGATAATAAAATATTTTAAATAAATAATAATAAAATATATAATGAATAATTAAATTTAATTTATTTAAATCAGAGACACACAGATTTGTGATCCCTTGCGATATATATATTATTTTTCTGTACATAATAAGTGAAGTCAAACTTCTACATATGGGTGCTGCATCACAACAGGAACCCCCTTCCCCCCAAATTCCCTCCTTCCATGAGACCATATGGTTTCTTGGTCTTGGTTTAGACGGCGCTGTCTACCAAGTGGGATAGGAAAAAACAAGTATTATAGGTGGCCTGATGGCTGAGTGACTAGCGAGGTTTCGCAAGGGTTTCGGGTTTGAGTTCCAGCTGTGCCATGTTTGTAGGGATTCGGAAACCACTTAAAACTGTAAGTGCCTATATAATATGACCGTAAAAGGTAGTTGTGACAGTAGGTCTCGGTCTAGTATGACTGTAGACCTTTGGGCATAAGGACCGACAGACCTGGTCTAATATAACTGAAGAGTATTGGGTGTAGGGCAAACAGCCCTACCCTGAAAAAGGAAACCTTCTCCTATCTTAAAATATGTCAGTATGCAGACGAACTTGGCCCATAATAGGGCTGTTAAGCCAATGAAAAAGAAAAAATATTCATTTAAATATGTATTTCATTTAGTTGCTTTTATATTATTTACTTTTAAAGTTGAGTAATAATTAAATTATTTTATACAACTCCGTCGATATTTAATATGTCATTAACAATAGGATTTTTTTTCATGGAAACTAAATACTTATTTTACCTTTATTTGTTACGTAAAAAAATACGTCTGATAACTATTCTGTTTGGTGCAAGTCCAAAATTCTGGAATAGATAAAGGACACATACCGAGACACCTCTGTAGTTGTCTGTCTGATTCATCTGGTAACAATGTTACTTCTACGATCGATTATACAATAAAAACTACACAAATTGAATGTATATCCTAATAAGAAAATGTTCATATTATACTCAAAAGCATATTATTTTCATGATTTATTATTGTATAGAAAAATATCAAAGCTTAGGTTTTCCACTGAACACTATTAGTTTTCATAAAGTATTTTCTTCAAACATTGTACATAAATGTATAGCCGGTTCAGAATTGTATCGTTACGTTTCCATGTCCATTTTGAAACGTTCATAACTTCAAAACTGTACGTAATTTGGAAAATCTATATATAGCTTCGTGTAGGGGAAGGTCGAAAGAGTCTAGTGGGAGGGAAGGCGTTATTCAGCGGGGGAGAGGGAGTTGGCCTAGTATCCATTGCTGTGCTTTCTGTTTTAGTTGTAATATTCCATACAGACATGTATTGTTGTTGTTTCTTATCCCACTTGGCTGGCCAAGCCCACGATCCCATACGTACTCATGATTGAAGGGGAAGAAAGCAGCTTCTGTTGTGATGGAGCACCCGTAGGTAGAAGTCTAACTTTGGCTCCGTGACGCTCTTATACAGTCATGGGAGACCGGGACCTACGGCTTAAAGTGGATTCCGAACCACTATGAACAAACACCCATGGCACCGCCGGGACTCGAACCCGAAACCTGTGGCACCGAGCGCCAGAGCGCTGGACACTCGGCCATTCAGGTCCCAAATTTGCGAATGCCAACGGCACACGGTGTTCCCAGGTGGTCACCCACCCAAGTACTGACCGCGCCCAATGATGCTTTACTTCGGTGATCGAACGAGAACCGTTACGGGGATAATGAAAGGCTTTTATAAAATGTTTTGGGGAGATCTAAATAAAAATAACAATAAAAGCCACAATAAAATGCTATTTAAATTTGAAGAATCCAAAAATACGTTAAAATATTATTGAAATTTTATAATGTCGTCTTATATGAAGAAGTGGTGGAAGCAACATTCCAGGAAATGTATTTCAGAAAGTAGATGGACTAAAAACGAATACAAGAAAATCCTATTGTAGCATTTCCTTCCTCCTACACACTGCAAATAACACCTCCCCGTGGCGTTCCGGAAAAATGGTTAGTCGGCGTCGAAACTCTCACCCCACAGCAAGTAGATCGCAAGCCTGGCCTCTCTCTGAGAAACGTTTAATTGGTCTACAATCTCTCAACCCGAGTGGAAATGTATTTGGCTCAACCCTGCGTATTAGTTGGCCTACAGACTCTCACTCGGATTGGAAGTATGTTTAATGCAGTCTTACACTTTTTGTGCACCCTGCGTGTATCCGAGTTTCTTTTTTTCCTGATATCGGATTGTTCTGTTTCAGTAAATATCCACACCATTCATTAATTCCTTTGTTTCGTTATTTATCTTTCCTTCACTTACTTATCTTTTTACGGGGTAGGTTTGTCAGCCCTAAGCCTTACACTCTACTTACTTATCTTGTATTCATTACTTATCTTTCTACTCTTGCCCCCTGCAAATAGAGATGTTTCACACATCAAAACAACGGTGTAAACTAGAATACTGTGCTCTTTTTTTTTACAAATTAAAAACATTAACTTAAAATTATTAAATTAAAAAACAATTAACAAATTTAGATGTTCTATTTCCTACCCAAGAATATTTCGTAAAATTCAGGGGCTTTGTAGTAATGAATTTATAATGGAAATAACATGCAAGTTAAGTAATTAGCATGCATGTTAAAGATCGATTTTGCTGGATGCCTAATTCACATGCCACAGAATACCAACCAATCAGAAAGCTTGATCTCGTGGCCAAATAGGCTTCCGATTTGGTGGCATTCTATGACGTGAAATTTTGGTATCCAATGGAAACTCAACTTTTTAATTTGAACATTCAGTATCATTATTAAAATTTGAACCTGAAAACAAATAATTTTTTACAAAGTAAATTGATGGACCACTTGACATAGAGATTACATTAGAATATAAGTTTTCAAATCAGGTTCAGACCAGTTTTATAACCAGTTCAATTTTCTAAAACCTCTAACGTTATTCGGCAACAACAAATAATTGCTTTTTCTAACTAATAATTTACATAACTGTTGTCTTTTAACTAATGATTTTTATGATAGTTGTTGTCTATAACTAATATTTTTATCACAATTTTTGCTTTTTATGTATACATTATTGCCGATGTGACCAAAAAATAACATTTGTGACAGTTAAAAAGTGATTTAAATCAAAGCTACTTAAATAATTGTGTTAAAAACTGGGTCTTAATTTTGCATTTAGTTGACACAAGCATCAATCATCATACAGTAATTAACAGTCACTGAGACAATGAAGACGTTCTTTCAATACATGATGGACTATCATGAAATATCTATTAAATTCAATTTAGTTGGGGTATTTTCCTAATGCAGCTGGCAAATACTTAGACATTTATCTTTTATACCAAGGGCTGGGCAAGCAAAGGCTGCACCGACGTTATTCACTTAGCACTACGCAGAGGACGCTTGTAGCTTGCTGATAAGCTACGGACGTGGAGTAACAATACCCCCGCAAAGCTCTGTGGTCATATTAGACAGGGATCTACGGTTTAATTGGAATTCCGAACCATTACAAGCATCCATGGCACCATCGGGACTCGAACGCGAAAACCTGGATACCGAACGCCAGAGCACTAGCCACTCGGCAATCAGGCCCTCTCAATTTAGTTTTAAACAGGATATTATAAATGTGAAAGCAGATCACTTAAAATATTATAGATGTCACAGAAGCCACTCTCATATAGTTACAGTTACATAGTAATTAAAAATTTCTCTTGCATTTAAGTAGGTGTGCATTGTGACTACTCAGTAGCGTCAGACTATTCAGTACTACTCAGTAGAGGAGTAGTGGAGTAAACTACTCACTAGTATTGAAGAGTCTACTCATGGATGGTGGGAAAAAGAGAGATTTTGTTGTGATGAAACACCCGTAAGTAGAAGTCTGAATCGGCACCGCGTCGCTGAAGAAGGAGGGCAGTGTCTTCCATGAGTACTTTTAAGGGAAACTACTCCACATTTGCATATCGTCTGGGAGAAAACCTGTAAAACTTCCACCGGATAGTTCGACTAATGAGGCAGGATGCTGAACATCAGCAAACGCCATCAAGTCTCTTAATTTTTGAAGCAATGTCTACAACAATGCTCCTAGTGGATTGAACCTCAACACTAATGCTCGCCAGCGGTACATGTTACCGCTGAGCCAAGTGTCAGATTTAAGTAGTTCTAAACGCATCCAAACGCAAATGTAACATTTTGTGCAAAATAGTAATTATTTTGTTAATAAATAGATAAAAAAATTTTTAAAAAAAAATTGTGTCACTTTTTAATTAAAATGTTTCAAGAATATTGTTATCTTCCGATTTTATTTTGTAATTTATTACACAAAAAATAAAATAAATAAACTGGAAGAAAAAAAGAGTTTGCTTAAAATGTGTATTCAATGTTGAAGGCAATTTTTATTAAAGTTTATTTTGTTAAAAATTTCGTGGTTTCTTAATTATCTCTCTTGTGACGAATATGACTTGGATCAAAGTGCTTTGACTTGGAAAACTACATCGTTCTTTCTTGTTTCTTGAGCATTTATTCTTCTTTTCATAAAATCTGTATAATATTTAATAGCTTAATAAGCTTAAATAGCTTCGAAATAAGCTTATTAAGCTTATATAACTTCTTAAGCTTATTAAGCTTATTAACTGTAAGCTTAAATAGCTTCTACTATAATTTATTTAAGAAGTTTTTAATTATGCTTGTTTAGTAGTGGGCGTTAGAAAGATAGGATCTATAATGTTTATAATTGTAAATTTTTTGTTAATTTTTTCAAAAAATTAAATACTTTTCCTAGAACTGAAAGTTACAAAATTCCTTTTTCACAACTATATGTTTATAGTTTTGTTTTCTTCAATTTTTTTTTTTTGACAAAAATCAATTTTTGTTTTAATTATTAATGTACCATATTCGTGGCTCCATGGCACCGCCGGTGAGCATCAGGGCTCAGGTTCAATCCGCGGGCGGTACTGTGGTAGACACTGTTTCAAAGACGAGGAATCTCGATGGTGTTTGAGATGTTCAGCCTCGTTAGTCTTGCCTCTTTAGTTGGACTACCCGGTGGTATTTCCCCTACGATAAGTAAATGTGGAGTAGCTCCCCCTAAAAGTCCTCCCGTAAGGCACTGCCCTCCTTCTTCAGCGACAAGGAGTCAAGAAGAACTTCTTTCTACAGGTGATCCTTTCCTTCTATCCTTGAGTAGATTTCTCATGGGATGTCCATTTCGCACTGCAGGACTCTGAGGATTAGGCACACAATTATTAATATTTTAGAATTCCAGAGTGCTTCGACATATGTCAATCGCAACTGAAAATTGCATAAATGTAGTAGATAAATCATTTGCAGCTATCTCCCCAACATTTTGACAGAGCAATTTTGAAATTGCCCAAATTAAGGACATTCCAACTATAGATTTCCATGTCGATTATTAGCATGTTCAAGGAATATTTTGGTTTGAAATGGCTTGTCGTGTTTAGAACTAAGATTTCGAATCTACCCTTAGCCCAGTAAACGCAAACTACCATCCCTTTTACGTATAACGGTTAATTTTACTACGTTTATTTACGTTTCGTTATCCAGCTCCCTCCATATTATTATATCCTAATGTAGATTTGTATATATATCATATATACAAATGCTTTGCTGGCGAGCATTAGGGTTGAGGTTCATTCCACTGACAGCTTTGTTGTAGACACTGCTTTAAAAACGAGGAGACTTGAGGCCGTTTGAGATGTACGGAACCTAGCCTCGTTAGTCAGACTACCTGGCGGAAATTTCCAGTTTTTTCTTTAAAATTTTGTGAAACACTAGCACATTTAGAAGCGGCTTGATGACCAATTGGCTAGCGCTCTGGCTATTGATACCACAGGTTGTTCGAATCTTGGCGGTGGCATGGCTGTTTGTTAGTGGTTTGGAATCCACTTTAAACTGTAGGTCCCGATCTGTTTAGCCTTCGTGTGCACAAAATGAACGTAGAGTGACAAACCAAGCCTATACGATACGCAAATGCAGGGTAGTTCCCCTTAAAAGTCGTCCCGGAAGAGACAGCCCTTCATTCTTCAGTGACACGGAGCCAAGTCAAACTACCTATGGGTTCTCCATAATACTGCCTGCCGTAAAACTGCCCCTTTCCATGAGTAGGTTATTCGCGGAATACCCATCTCGTACTGAAGAACACTGAGTTAGTATCCACACAATAACACAGTATTATAATATTTTTAATAATACCGATTTTCTTATTTGTTTGATAATATTGATTCCATATTATTAATAATTCACTGAATTCCCGAGGCTCAAATCTCTTGGAAAGGAATTTATTTATTTCTATTTTTATGAATCTAGTTTTTCTAGTCCTCGCCCTTCTATCACCTCCTTAACAGCAAATTAGTTTTACTGATGCATCCTTAATGTGATACTAAGAAATTACTTTGATCAAAGTAATCAACCCCTATTCTAATGGTAATCAGCCCTTTTCAAATTTAAATATCACTTTGCCCGATTTCAATGGCTTTCGTTCAACTTTTTAAATGGCTTTTTAAAACTTTTCCGTTAGTTTTAGAAAAAAAACAAAATCATCGCCTGATTGGCTTCTAATGAAATACGGTTTGCACATGATTTAGCAAACTATTGCAAATTCCCCTTTTTTTTCTGTGTTGTCTTTAGTATGTATAAATTATGCGGGATTAAATATAAAAATAAAAGTCTAATGCACGTGGTGTTTTGCTTCCCA